CAACCAAAAACCCGAGAGTAATGTCTCTGTGAAAACATCTATAACAACACCTGCCATATCTATTGTAAAATCATATGAGCTCAACTTCTACCCTTTTCCACTTTCCTGTGCCAAGAACGGACGAAAATGGGCGCCTCTGGCCCCATTTTTGTAACACCCGAAACACATCTACCATTGTTCCATATATCCCTTCCACGTTTTTCATATTTCTTCCGATTTTTTTCAAGCCATTCCCGACCACGGACAACCATCAGTTTCCAAATTGGGTAACTGTCACCCGCAAATTCCGCCGCTTCCTCTGTATCTCCATCAATTCTCCACCGATCCGGACGAATTTGGTATCGTTGGAAAGCCCTTGTTAACACGAGTCGAACGATGTTACGAGTGACGCATTTGGTTCAGCGGTTGTTCCGATCGCCATGGTTCTTTATTTCCTTAACAACATCAATATTTCTTTGATATTGCTTTTTTCTTAAGTGTTCCTTGTGGATCTGTTGCCGTCCTAAACCCGTTGGATTATTCGGATTTCCATGCATATTTCTTTCATATTTATAGTTACCCTCTTTCCTGTATTTTACAAAAAGGACTCCCCCAAAAACAGAGAGGTGCTCCCAACAAACATGAAGTTCTAGCAGACGTTACCAGCGCCCAGAGCGGCGAATACGAAGCCAAAGAGGCTCAAGACATAGTGCAGGGGCAGAGTTCCCCATTAGTTTGATTATCAGTGAGATTTACAAATTTATCTTTTTATCACATAGCACCAGACCATTTCTCCCCCCCCCCCTTCCTCTTCATCTGAACCTCCCCTGAGCATTCCCAACTCTGTGGCCCCCTCTCTTTCTTGTTAGGGTGGTAGATCCCTTGCCCCCTTACAGCGTCCCTGACCACTTAAGCTGAAGTGGGAAGTTGAGAAGAAGGCTGCTTCTTCTGTTCCCACCCCAGGCACTATTATATACATGTGGCTAGGGTCACGTGGAGGAAGCCATGTCATCTCCACACACAGCCACACCTCCCTGGGTGTCTCCGTGGGAGATCCCGGAGGTGGCCACTCAGTAGGTGGGAGTGTGCACAGCGCGTGCGGCGATCAGGGGGGCAGGGTCAGGTATGTAGTAGTACATGGAGAAAGGGAAATCGACTGTAGAATAGAAATAGAAATAGAGATAGAGAGAAGGGGGAAAATGGGGGAGGGGAGACAGGGAGTGATAATGGGGTAGTGTGGTACGGCGCGGGGTCAGGCAGGTGTGCCCTGACAAGTATGGCGCAGGGTGCGGTGCAGGGTCAGGTGGGTGTGCCCTGACATATTGCCTACACTCTATCTAGTTGATCCGATGACAAAAGATTCCTATATCAACCATTATTTTTCACTGCAATACAAATGGACTGTGATGCAAAGTGTCCGGAATGTTGTATGTTACTCCGAACATTCAGAGCTTCACTGTCACTGATGACTACAAGTTTATTGAATATCATTCTACCTACATGACTCGGTCCACTGCCTCAAATGGAACCAGGACAATTGGAGGCGATGTTGTATCTATAGCAACCACTCCCTTGACTGATGAAATACCCTATTGTGAGGGACCTTAACGTCGGCAGAGGCCGGCAATTGAGTTCAGGTGGTTAAGGGACTCACGAAATCTTAGGGTGATCGAAAGTCGCTGAACCAAAGTCGAACTCGATATTACACTAGGGGTGTAAATACAAAATCTCTGCTTTTCCTATCTACTAAGGTTCTAGCTTATATACGGTTCTCTACGCTTATCGCTTACACCTATGGTCTTTCTCGCCGTCTTGCAGCCAGTCAAGCTCGATGAGCTCAAGAAATAGTTAGCGACGATCCTGGTGCAGAGCTCACACACTATCTTAGTGATCCGCTTGAATTACCTGGCACCGACATCCTCAACTTCTGGATGGCAAGTATTGTTAGTTCCAATGGTATTGTTTGCTGAACTAACCTATACTGATTCCCAGAAAGAAGGCTCCGCATATCCAGTCCTCAGGTCCATTGCCCAAGACATACTCTCGGTCCCCGCATCTTCTGTCCCATGTGAAAGGGCATTCTCTGCCGCAAAACACACTGACAGTGACACCCGGAGTCGTCTCACCCCTCTGCATCTCGGTGCCATCCAGATCGCCAAAGCCGACATGCAACGGAATCGCCTTAAGGAAGACAAGGAGAGGAAGGCTTCAGAGGAAGCGAAGGTTCAAGAGTGGCGGGAATTTGAGGCAAATCTTATCTTGGATCGTGCGGAGAGAGAAGGAATAGATCTTGAGTTTTGATGCTCAGTTGATAGTACCAGTTCCCACTATACATACTATCGTACACACTCTCTTCATAATAAGATTTCCGGGACGGTCTCAGGACCGAACTGAACGGTCCCAGGACTGTAACCGCGGTTCGGTTCGGTTCGCCTACGGTTCGGTCCTGGTTCGACAGGACAGCGAAATTTGGGACAGTCCCGGTTCTGGTCCTCGAAAAATCACCCAAAGACCGAACCGAACCGGACCGTGGCACCCCTACTCGGAGTCCTCGAGTGCCCGAAATACGACCACTACCGAACCCTACTACCAGACGATGAAGGAGAACTGATCCTGGATGACCTCCTGGGGGAGGAGAAAGGAATGGAAAGAATGGCGAGATTTCTGGCGGCGAGTGGAGCATATGAGAAACAAAGAGAGACATAATAGGAGAAACCGACACGAACCGAGTTATGACCAAGTTATGACACCGCTGTACGGCGAAACCCATCCCATTTTTCGACACCGTCACCCAAAATCGGCCAGCACAACGCGACAACTCAAAAGCGGAGCAGCATTTGGAGTTAACCTCGTCAGAATGCATGAGAGCACTCTAATCGGACTTAGATTATTATTTTCTCACTTTATTCCAACCCCTGCCCTCGGCGCTCTCACGAACATTGCAGGATAAATATCCAGAATAAACAACAACAACGCATTCTGCTCTGTCAATCTCTGATACTTCGAGTTGCTTGCCAGAGCAACTGATTTTGGGGACTCTCTCTCACTGTCTCGCAACCCAGCTGCTCACCAAGCCTCGCGGTCAAAATATCGACCTGCCTGAACTGATGGTGTAGTCGTCTTAAAGGGCCAACTACTACTCCACAGTCTAGTAATCTCTCTGACGCACCAGTCAGCCACGACGATCGCTCTGTTTGAGCATCTCTATGGAGGCTAGTAATACTCAACGTTATGTTCGCCCCGCCATATAAGTGATTTCTCCGGGCTCACTGGACAACTGAATCGCTCCCATCACTTTGATCTTGATCTTCCATATAACATACTCAATAGGCTCTTTGGAATCATAGCGAACCAGAAATAAACTCACACAGGTTTTCATCGGCTCATCATGCTGGGTTTATTCACCTGGATGGAAGTGGTGATGTGATCCGACAAAGTTGGGACCTGATCACACCATCCTGAAATGCTCAGTGCAGGTGTATGGTATGTGGCGTTTTGAATGATGACCATACACAGCCGGAGCATCGGTTGCGCTCATTCCACACCACGAGACGCTTCCGTTGCCGCTCGCGACATCTCAAAGCTGGCATCATTTCTAAAGCGCGCGCGCGCGAATGTATATAGGAAAATTGTCGCCGCCACGAGGGGGTGCGAATCTGGCTATGGGGGGACTCGATCTGTTCTCGCCCGTTTCTAACAGTGGCCCCGTGCTTGGCAGGATTGGACCTTTTCCTTCCAGCGTGCCACTTGTAAACTGCTTCCCTGTGCGACATCCCTGGACAGAAATGTGTTCCCTGCCACCCCGTAGTGCGAGTATCAGGCCTGACCCTGCTTCCCTCCAAGATCGCGCCACTAGTGCGTCTCTTGCGCCACCCTGAGGTGCCCTCACTATCAGGAAAATAACACGCTACTGGAGAAAGGTCCCCAGGCTCCAGTACTTGATAGTACCTCGTCTGAGCGGACTTTATATTCTTTGAATCTATCGAAGCCGTTATATAGGATGAACTGTAGCGAAGTACATATTTGTTGCCCGCCCCATACCGTCTTCATTATCCTTTCCTGGGTTATGAAACACTTGACGAGGCCAGGGGGCCCTCGGCTGTTTCATCTGTCTTGATACCGTCTTTCCCTCCTCCACTTTTGTGTGTTGTCCCTTGTTGGTTTCCCGTGGTTTTTTTTTGAGTTCCTTTCTGTATTGGCTTGGCGGTGTTTGCGCTGCGGGATCGGACTATGTGGGTCTTCAGGTCTTCAGCCTGTCTAACCCTTTGTGGGTCTCAACAGTAGTGGTATGTAACTTTGGCCGTAGAAACCTGATCTTGGCATGTTTGAGGTATCCATCTAGTGGAGGTCTTCACAGTCTCACTAGCCACCCGAATTCCGGATTCTTTTTCTTTTCTAGTATTTCATGGTGTGAGTTCAAAACGACGAAGTCTCAACGCGCCTACTGCCCTCGCTCGCAACTAAAATCCTCATTACCGAGCTACACTGCCTAACCGAGGTACTTACGAGCTGCCAGAGGACGGTCGATCCTGGTTGTTTATCGGTGTCTCTTCTGGTCACCCACCTGCTACAAACAACCGCGCCTACTATACAACCTTACTACCATGAATCTTCTTGCTTCCAAAACAAATCGATGCGTCGACGTCATTTTTACGTGAACTTCACGTTCAACTGTTGGAGACCTAATTTGAAGTTTAACTCGTTTGGTCCAGTATATACAGCTGGAATATTCCACCCCCCGGGTCCTCTAGCTGCCGCTCTCTGCAGCATCTTTCTTGCCTTGCAATGCGCCTGCCATCTTACCAGATGAGCAGCTATACTACAAGTGACTCTAAATATCGGAGGGATAAGATTTTCGAAGTGTCCATGGCGTTGGGTTTTCGAATCCAGGCCAGACACATGCGTATGTCAAGTATAAGTACATTTATGTATGGAGACGAGATTATAATGGCAAAGAAACTGCAAAGAAAGAGCGAGGGGGTTTAACCCCCGTGTCAAATGCAGGTGCTGGGGGTGTTACCCTAAACATCCTGGATGCCCCCCGTTGCTTTTTTGCACTGAATCGTCGGATCGGAAAGGGTTATCAAACCATTAACTAGTTCAAACCAATCAGCCTCGTTCGCCCTTCGCTCAAGAAGCTTCTTCCTCTCTTCTTCCTCAAGGTTGTCCCAGTAGCATTTGATCCTTGGAATCACACTCCTACGATTCACTCTAAGCCTCCGATCATCGACGAACCGATCTCCGGTCCCGGGCAATGATGGCAACTCGGTCGCACATTTCTGCTTGAGGAAATCTACCAGACCGTTCATGAGGATGTTCGATTCGTCTCGCTCCGCAACCTCGACGAGTCGATGTCCCCGCTGGAATGGATCATACTTGCACCGCTTCCTTGGATCACGGGGGCACTGACTACATTGACGTGTCTCTTCACACGCCAATTCCCGGAAGAGCGCGTCTCTGTTCACGAAAGATCCGTCCTTGATCACTCGAGTGGCGAAGATTGATTGGGCAACGGCTAAGAGTGCAGGTGGGAAATCTCTTGGTAGCCCAAGGATGAAAAGGGAGTCAGGAGGAAAGTCGGAGCTTAAACTCATAGTATGTTTGTAAAGAGGGTGTATTCCGTTACCGTTGGTCGAGAGCTTCTGATCATCGATATATTCGGTGTTGCATGACCTTCTATCTGAATGCTCGGCAAGTGCACCTCCTTTTGTGAGGAAGGGGATTTTCGTTTCGTATCCAGTTGCGAGAATGACGCTATCGATGTCTTCCTCACATTTGGTTGCCCCCTCACTGTCCACGAAGCAGATGGCATCCTCCTTGAAGTATGATAATCGACCCACTGAGATAGGATCACCATTAAGCGGGCACTGGTTCGTTGACGATCGTGCAATGTATACCTATCACCGACAAAAACTCAGTTACAATAGGAGACAATGACAAACAAATGGAAACCGGGGGAGGGCTCGTACCTTTTTAGCGCTTTTGTTAACGTCCCGTGCAATATCCTCACCACCACCACCAGACCCGGCGATAAGAACGGTGCGACCAGCGTAAGGTTCTGGGCCCATGTAGTAGATCGAATGTCGTATCTCCCTCGGAAGCTTCAACTTTTCATCGTTTTTGGAAAGCCACTCGTCCTCTCCCCTGAATTTAGCTTTTCGAGGGTACGCAGCTTGACCGACGGCGACAATGAGATGATCAAATTTCTCTTGTATCGTCTCCTTTTCGGACTCCGGGGTACACGCAGCAGAGAACGAAGAACGATTAAACCGTTGCGCCGATTCGCCGCTTTTCGGCTTTTGGATAGTCAGTTCCCATTGACCACTCTCAGCGGTACCGACCCAGCGAGCCTTGGTGACCTCATGCTGCCACTTGACTTTTTGTTCAAAGTCATCTTTGAGCTCGTTCTCGAAGAGGTTTTTGTGGTACTTGTACATCTCCTCCGCCGGCGGATACAAGTCGAGCTTGGCCGGGAAGGGGATGCCAGGAAGGGTATCTAAGAAAGGATGAGACGATCCCGTTGGTTTCCATATCGTGGAGGTACCAGTACGCTGACTTACTATAAGGATGTGGCGTACTCGTATAAACCCCAGGGTAAAGCGGAGTCTCCGGTAGACAGCCTGAGGAAGCCTTCTCAGGTCCAGGTTTTTCCTCTTGTTTAAGCCTTTGGGGGTCAAGTTCTTACAGATCAGCAAGAACTCCTGATAGCAAATGTAGCACCCACCATATGCCGCCCACATCGTGACGTTTCTCGAACAGGACGACGTCCCAGTCGAGATTATACCCTGCTTT